CCTGACGTAGCTGCAGCCCCGGTGCCCAGCACAGGCTAGGAACGTCAGCTGTGCTTTGTTGCATTGCTGACAAACCCCGGAGTAGAGTGTGTTTGATGACACCCACTCCCCTACTGGATGTGGAGGAAATGGGTCCTGGGTGATGGGATCCCCACCTGTCCCTCGTGACCCCTTTGCCTCAGGCAGCTGGCTGGAGTTCCCAGCAGGGACCAGGGGCTCCAAGGATGCTTGCCCCTGGGCACCTTCAGGGGAAGGAAGCTGAAGACCCTTTGCAGCCTGGGGGCCAAGGAGAATGAGAGGCAGAGGGTGGAAAAGGCCCATAGCTGGCAGTTTGTGCCAACCGAGGGCCCCTGCTGTACTGCTGCTTGCAAACTGGGAGCTGAGGGCGCTGGCCCACCTGCCTCACAGGGAGAAGGGCGTGGGCTGCCCGGCAGTGAGGAAGTGATCTGATCTGGAGCCAGACCCGTGCTGCAGAGGCCTTGGAGCTCATGTGGTTGCAGAGGGCAGGTGGAGAGGGAAAGAGGGCGTGGAGGACAAATGAGGGCCCACAGCAAGAGGTGACATCGGCCTGGATGCCACTGCTAACTGCACCCGGAAAATGGGTAAGATGGTGACTTCTGTAATTGCAATTAAAGAGAAAGGCAGAAAGTGAGAGAGAGAATCAGGACAAGGGCCGGTGGCAAAGCTTTCACTGACCAAAGACAAAATGAAAAAAATAAGGACAAATGCCCCAAGGTTTCCTTTACACAGGATGTTATTTCATGTAAGCGGCAGCTGTTTATTCTGAGACCTCATCCTTCCTCTTTATTGGATGTTCAGTGGCCTCTCGGAAACGAGGGTAGGGAGAGGATAGCTGAGTCCTCCTTTATGCATTACGCGTTTTCAGAGTCCTCAGTGGGCCTAATTAAAAGCTGCCAACTCTATGTTGGTTCTCCCCAAATGCAGTGCTCTTGCTGGAAGGACCTGAAATGCCAGAGTCAGGAAACTCCTGCCAGAGAAGGTCGGGGAGCAGAGCCTGCAGTTTGAAGAGTGGGTGCTTTGCGCTCAACTATCAGGGACAGAGAAGGGGGAGAATAGAAAGAGGGTCCTGGACGGAGTGCACTTTGCAGTAACAGGGCTCAGAGAGGCCAGGAGCCGGCAGCCATGGCCTTTAGAGAAAGAAACAGGTGCCCGTCAGCCCTGTGTGCATGTTGGCTGTTTATGTGTCACCTGGCATCTGTGACCTTCTCTGCTTGGGTACATAGGCAGCAATGCCCTCTGCCTCTTTACCTTTAATCCAGTGCAACAAGCTTTGTATGCCAGGCTTTGTGCCGGAGGGTTCAGGGTCTATAAAGTCCAGGCCCTGCCCCCAAGGAGCTCACAGACCAGGAGAAGGATTTGTGCTATGGAAGATGGCAAACCAAACTGAGTTCCTGCCCCTGGACTTGCCCACCTTTCCTCCCAGAGACAGCACACCGCTGTCCGGAGAGCTGGAAGGGTAACAGGAGACACTGGGGTGGCCCAGGACATGGCATAGCAGTTCCTGGTGCCTCTTGGAGATGGCTGTACAACCATGAACCAAGCTGCAGGGGAGGGGGGTCAGGGTGGTGGCAGAAGGAGATGGGGAGAAACAGCCTGGCTGGGCAGCAGGAATTGGGGGAGGTTTTCCGGGCTGGGCTGTGTCTTGGGGAGGGCTTCTGGGGGCTTGGTGGGGAGGCCCAAGCCGAGGCTGTGGCTGTGCAAGTCTTCACACACTGCGTGTTTGTTCTTGTTCTTTCTATTCCCAGCACAGTCACTAATCATAATCATGGCTCAGAGTAAACCTCTGTGGTTGGAAATAGCAAACTGAGAAACCCACTCTTCCCCACTGGAGATTTTCTGGGCTGAAAGTGTACATTCCAGTGATCAGTTTGGCCGAGAATCAGGATAACCTTTTCCCCCTGGCCCCACCTCCTGCCTGCTGTTACCTCCAGCGCAGGGGAGCTGAGGGACCCCCGGGAGCCTGTGCCTGGTGTGGTGGGCTGGGGATCCTGCTCTGTGAGTCCTTCCAAGTCTGTTATTGGCACGTCTCTCACTGGCCTTGAGCGAGCTTCCTGCCTCTTGGCTGGGTTGGGATTATCCTTAATCCCCTCTCTCAGGGGAGTTTAGCTGATTGGGGTGGGGGGACTCCCCTTGCAGCTCTCACCCAATCTGGGTCAGCAAGAGAGAAGAGGTGGTGAGGATGCAAGCTGTGAACACAAACCCAGCATTGAATATGGGGGTGTTTACCCCCCAACTGCATCCATGGCAGACATTGGTAATCAACCACTGAGCTCCTCCCCTCCCCGTGTTAAGTCCAAATGGACCTCACAGTCCTTCTCAAAACCACTCCACGTAGCTGTTGCCAATCAGTTACATTTGTCACATGAGAAAAACCTGTTTGATGCCCTTGTACCAGAGACCAGACCCTCAGAAAATTTTTAATTCAGGCCTCCTCCTATTTTTTCTAAATTTTAAAATTACTTCCCCATCAGAAGTCCCTTTCCTTAGTCTGGTACCTACGTAAGACAAGCTAATGCCACAAAGCAGGTAATGGATGAATTACCAGATAGGACTTTTAGGGGAAGCTACATGGATTGGGAGATGCTAATTACCAGGGTTTCAGGCTGTCAGAGGTGGGAGGGCTCTTAGAGTTTGTCTTGTTCCTACTTTGTGCCCACTTTACAGGTGTGCTAACTGAGATCCTGACAGCAACTCCTCACCCAGCGAATTCAGGATAGTGAATTCAGAAGTGGAGGTAGATGTCTGCATCCACTGGGGAACAGAGTGACAGCACTCAGGATGGACAGGGTCGGGACAGAGCTGTGTGCCCCTGCCGAGTTCCCTGCCACTGTCCCCCAACCATTTGTAAAATTAGCCCCGGATCCTCCCGTGCTACCTTAAATGTTAGCTATTCTAAGAAGATGATGGTTGGGCCCCTGTCTGAGGGGAAGTCTCTAGATTTAGCCACAAGTGTCAGAATACCACACACACACACACACACACACACACACACTGCCAATTTGGGCTCAGATTAGGGACCGTGCTTTTCCCATTGGGAGAGCTAGGCCATTTTCAGCATCATTCCTCAGCTCAAGGATGTCAGAGCCAAGTTTCTGCAGCTCTTCCTTTTCCTCGGGGCTACCTCATGGCCCAGGATGCTTGCTCTACCTCCAGTTTCTCATCTGGGTTCCAGGCAGAAGAAGAGCGGTGGGCAAGCTGAGCCTGCCCTCCTTCCCAGGAGCTCTCCCAGAAGCTCCACCAGAGACTCGTTGTCACCTCGTTGGCCAGAACTGTCACATGGTTCCTCCATATCGCAAGGCTTCTGGGAATATGCCCCCTGCCCCAAAATGGGTGTCTCTTAGCAAGAAAGAGGGGCAGAGTGGGCTGCGCTGGCATTTAGATTGCTCTGCCTCGGTCATCCTGACCCTCCCTGTCTTGGTCTCACGCTCTGTCAGCAGAACTTGGAGGCGTTTGTCCCGCGTTCGTCCCTAAGTGTGAGAATGACCTTCCACTGCCACCCCTGTCTCACCAGCTGGTGGGGGTCCTCGAGTGCTCCAGTCTGTCCCCTTCCCAAGGCATTGCAGATGTACATTCCTTGCAAGACTTGGGAACAGGCAGAAAAGTCAAGGGCCCGTGGCTGGCGCGCAGAGGCGGCTCCTCCGCCATTCTCGCTGTGTCAGCCCAGGGCTAAGCCTCTGAACACCTTTGCATTTGGATTCAGCTCAGGAAATTCATACTTGCTCTTTCTTTTCTCCTGGAACATGAGTTAGTCCTGGGTGAAAATCCTGGAAAGAGAGGCTCTGAGCTTTTCCAGGCCAGCCTCTGATTTTCTAGCCGCCCACTGAGGCCTCAAGAGGGAAAGTGCCCACAGGTGGCCCCCGTCACCCCGCGGGCAGAGCCCACGGGCGCCTCCCGCAGAGGGCCAGCTGCAGAGGACTTAAACCAGCCACCATTCCCCACTTGGCTTTAATTACCAGAGAAATGCCTTTTGCCTGTCAAAGTAAGAAGAAGGAGGAATTTGTGTTTAAAAGGAAATTTGAAAGCGTAGCTCATGATCTAAAAACAGATCTTACTTCCGAGCTCCAGAGCTGTAAGGAAAAGTCAGCCGACCCGGCACCCCCCAGCACCCGCCTTCGGCTGTCACGGAGGCGTCACAGTGGCCTCAGGTTGGTGCCCCACCACCTTGTCCGGACAGACGACAAGAATCATACAGAGGGACCTCAGTTTCCCCAAAGGCCCTGGGTTTGCTTTCAGGAGTGCTAATTTCTAATTAGCCACCAGGACACAGGCCTGCAGCCCCTCTTTGTGTTCTAATGCAAGAGAAAGGGGAAGAAACATCAATGGAGGGCCTACGCGACGGCCCTGACCCCTTCCAAAAGCCCATGCTGCAGACTCGTGACTTTGTCTTTAGATATTGAAACCAGAGCACAGAAAGGGCTAGCAGCTGGCCTAAAAGCCACCAGCTGGTCGATGAAGGATCAATCTGGGACCTGAACCCAGGGATGATGATAGGCTCCAGGCCTCTCCACGGAACTTGCGCTTCTGCTATTTATCCTTCCTTTGTGGGCCACGGGCTGCTGCTGCTCTGCCGCCTGGTAGCTGTCACCTGAGGGTGACATTCCAGAGCCACGATTGAGGGCTTTTGCCCTGTGTCCACTCCCTCCAGGGCGTTTGTCAGCTCCCATTGGCACTGGGAGTTGGCAACACTAGTGTGCGTGCCAGAGGGTGGGGGCAGTGCTTAGGAAGGACAGAGACGGCCCCCTCTTGCAGGGCAGGTGAGGACAGAGTAGGCTTCGTGGCATTGCTGCCTGTAGAGCAGCTCTGATTCTTTCCCCTGGAGGAAAAAATGAGGCATTTTCTCTCCAGAGGCAGTGGCCGTGCATGTTGTGGAAATTTTATTGACAAGGAAGAAGAGGGCAGAAGAAGTTGTGTATGTATGTGCATATGTGTGAGTGTGGTGTGCGTGTGCACATGTATATGTGTGTGTACTGTACACTCAGGTCCACCAGAAGCACAGCTGGGCAGCCCTGTGCTTCCAGACAACAGACACCACGGTCTCTGGGAACCTCAGGATGACCACGCCGACCCAGGACAGGTCCCCTGATTCCATAACGGGAGTAACTCGTTGTCCCCACTGCCATTTTCCACACAAAGGAGAAGGTCAGTTGACCCCTGGGCTCTCTGCCATTTGGTTTGGGAATGATGCCCTCTCTTTGTTGGGTAGCATAGAACCTGCTTATGACAGAGGACTTAGCCCGGTGCATCCTACTCCCATTTGTCTCCTGCTGTGTGTGTGTGTGTGTGTGTGTGTGTGTGTGTGTTAGAAACCAGGGATGTTCACAGAATTTGTTGAGCACCTCAGCTGCTAGAAGCAGGAAAAATGGCACATGTCTAGTACCAGTTTTGGAGGAATGAGTACCCTCTGTTTCAAGCCTAAAGACCAGCCCTTTCATTACAGAGCCCACGAGCCTGATGGATTCGGTAGTTTCTCTTGTCACCCCTCCCCACGGAGGGCTCAGGAGTCCAGAACATGGAGGCATCAGCAGCTTCCCCCAACTCTCTCTACCCTCAGCCAAGTCCACAAGGGCAAAATCACCCCATCTTGACCCCCAAAGACCTGGTGACACTGACCAGGCATTCACATGGCTGGACTAGTGTGGTTGATGTGGTGTGGGCCCACTGATGACATGGTGGGGTGAGTGAGTGTGAGACGATGCTACACAAGTGGGTCTTGGTGCCAAAAGCAAGCAAACTTCACTGTTTAAAATGTTCTATTATGTAACCAGTGTGTACAGGGACCATATCCACTCAGTCATATTATTTGTGATTGTAAAACATGCATTTCCAATAAATTAAGCTTTCTGGGAAGGCAAGCAGTGCCAGAGCCAAATGTCTTGGAACATGTCAGTCTTATCTTGGTTCATATCAAGTCCAGAACGCCATAAGCCTTCCCTCCTTCCCACTCAGGACGGAGGGATGAGAGGACCCTTTTAGTTTCTCCTCAGGGCTGTATTTGAAAGTCACATTGACGTTTTCATCCCCTTCCTGTTGCTCAAGCTGGAAGTAGCAGTGTTCTCAAAGATGGCTTGGCATTTCTGTTGTTACTTTATGTTTTTAAAAACACGTCTGCTTTCTGTTTAAGAAATAAAAGTATCTATTTTGGTCTATGAAGCATTGCGTGGTTTGGACATTCTTTTTCTGAAGACATGATACGTGGCTGAGGCCAACTGGGTTTGAAATTCTGACTTCCAAGCAGAATTAGCTCCCAGTTTGTGCAGAGGCTCAACTCAAGGCAATAACAGCTCTCAATCCAAGTGAACCTGAGGAACACCTGGGAAGCATCTCCAAAATCATTGCCAGCATCTCTCCAGACCTCCTGGGGTGCAGCTTCGAGGGTGGGTGGCAGGTGGAGTGGATTTTGAAAATCCCAAGTGCCCTCTAAGTAGAGAGAAGGCCCCAAATGCTGGCACCAGAGGCCTTGCCAGGACTTTGCTCCCAACCCCCTGGATCAAAGCCCCATTATGATGGTTTGTTTAACAAACAATTCTTGGGTTTGGGGATCTGGTTTCCCAGCCCACTGTACATTGGAAGCTGCAGACAAAGGGGAAACTGTGAGATTCCGGAGAAAGAGGGCTACTGTCCCCGTGTTCAAGGAGAGGTCTAAGCAACCAGCACGGGAACCCCAGTCCCACCATATGGTAATGAAGTCTCCTGACAATGGCCCTGGTCTGCCAAGGAAAGGTCAGTGTATGTCCAGAGCTTTCTGCTTACAAAGGCACAGAACTATGCACCTGAGTTGAGAGCACTTTCTCTCAGAAGGATTTAAAACAGAAAGGCTTTGCCTCTTGCATAACTTATCCCCAAACAAATTTCAAAAATGTGCCATTGTTTTAAGAATGCATGTAATACCTTTCTTTATCTGTTATCTTAAGAAGCCCTGCCCACCTTTTGGTAGGAGAGAGAGCGCAACCCAGCAGGCAAGCAGCGCATCTATAAACACTCACCTCTTAAGTGGCTGGTGAAAGGTAGAGACAAGTTTTAGACTCCGTGGTCATTGAAATGGCACCCAGAACTGTAAGACTTTGAACCTCCTTAGATCCGGGATCCAGTTCTGTGGCACATGCCCTGAAGCTCCAGCCCCTTCAAGTCACTCTCAGAGTTTTTGATTTGGCAGAGCAACTCTACAATTGAGCGAAAGATGGAAAAGCCTGTTCGGCTGGGATGGAGTCCTTGGTTGCCACAGGTTAGCCTTGTTGAAGGTCAAGTACAAGGAGGAAGTCACCGGGCTGCATTCACACAGCTGCTGGCATCAAGGTCAGAAGCCTCTCCTCCACCAGGCTACAGCAAGAAAAGCATGTATTTGGTAAGAGAAATTTACAACCGAAAGAAGTGAGTCGGCCAGGCATCTGGGGCCCATTGTCTGAAGTCTGAGTGGGGCCAGGTGCCCTCGAAGAAACCTGGTGAATCTTGTGGCCCGGGATGAGGAGCTGCCTTGCCTTCTAATGTGTTGTCCAAAAAAGTAAAGCATATTCAGTGAAGAGAGACAGAATTTTGCCCAATGGGACGCTCTGCCCTTTAGGCATATATGGAATCGGTCACCGTGTTCAGCTGATGTTAAGACACCTTAATCCTTATAACATAAAAGTGTGCCGTGCATCATTTCTAGGAACTAAACATGGTGTACACATTTATTTGTACAACAGAGGCATTAAACCTTGGGTCAGGAATTTCAGTATCAAAACATAATTTCAGTGGGAAAGTTACAGTTTGAAAATCTTTACTAAGCTTCTCTCATACTCCTGGCTGGCTGATTAACTCACTTTTATGACTGATTTTTTTTCACAACCAGGTATGCTATGGAAGTAACTATCTTGCAGCTGTTTTCATCTTACCTCTGTTTCCCAAGCCCAGCTATGGCATGTTTAATTGGAGAGATGCATCATCTTTGGTGGAAATCCCTTGGTGAGAACATTACTCAGCTGCTCGGCCTTTCCTGTCACCATCTCGCGGGCCCTGGCTCCCACCGCTCCTGCGGTGACCTTTCTCCACCCTGCTTCCCTCGTTGACACTTCGAGAGGAGCAGCCCGGCTTGCTCGGGCTTCCACTGCTGGGCGTCCGTACTGCAGTTGTGTTCTGGCGTGCACCCTGGCGCTGCTCCCAGCTCCCACCTGGGCTTCACTGTGACCTTCTGCTGCCAGTTTCTACTGGGAGGGCTCCTCCACCAGGGGACGGCAAGGGAAATTGTTCCAAATTACCCTGCGCCCCAGCCTTTCTGCAGGGTGACTGTTTCCTGGCCTTGAGCATGTGCAAATAATTGAGGCCCTTTTGCTTTGGAATGAGGTGACGGAATGACAAAAAGAAAAGCGGATTTTTTTTTTAAAAGGCTAAATGCAACATGGTATCTTGGATCGCACCCTGGAACGATAAAAGGACATGAGCAAAAAGCCAGATGGAACACAAATGAAGTCTGTAGTTTCATTAATAATATTGACCCAGCGTAAATTCCTTGATTTTGACAAGTGTCCCAGGGTTATGTGAGATGTTAGCATCAGAGCAGACTGGGTGAAGTGTTTATGGGAATTTGGCGCTATTTTCCAACTTTTCTGAAATTATTCCAGATAAAAATTTTATTTTTTACAATGTAGATTATTATGGCCTTGGGAAAAATGTGAGGGTTCTCTTTTCCCCTGAACTTGCTCTCTCAAAAATGGGGATGAGTCCACGCTGTAGGAGCAGGCTGGGAGTCTGCCTGACCTGGGCTGGGCGGCCAGCAACCACATCTCCAAGGGAGGCAGGAGCTGGGGAAAGTTCTTCCATCTTCCTGAGTGATACCTAAAGGAATGTGGCTGTGAGGACACAGGAGACAGTGTGTGTAAAGAGTTTGCACAGCACTTGGCACATGGTAAATACCACTGAGCATCCCAACACCTCCTCAGTCACGCTCGGCAGGTTCAGGAGAAATATTGTGTTAGACATCTGAACTTGGAGTTTCTAGGACAATTGTTTCATCCCAAAGTTCTGCCCTGCAACTACTGCTGGAGTGTCCCCTATGGGCTTACGAGGGGACACTTGTTGGGGAAGATTCTGGAATCAGTCAGGGTTCAGTTGCAGACAAGGTCCACTCTAACTAGTTTAAGGAGAAGAGGATTTATTATAGGGTGTTAGGCAGCTCACAAAACCATTGGAAGGACTGAAGGAAGACACTCTGGTCTGAGATTCTAGCAAGAACTCAGGCCCCAGGATCATTCTGCTCTTCCATGATGGCAGAAGCAGCTGCCAGCAGTGCCCCAAGCTCCAAACCAGGAAACCGCCACTGCTGACCAAAGAGTCTCGCATTCACTGCCACCCACAGCAGTGAGACAGGTGCCGTGCCAGGCTGTGTCCTCGTACACTTCCCTTCTATCCCAAGTATCGCGCAGGAGCATGTGAGCTTGCAAAACCTAGGGCATGTCCAGAACTGGGCAGCCAAGGAGTCAGGAAATGTCATCACAGCTTTGCCCTTTCCACATTACAGGAAGGGTCTTGGAAGGTGAAAAGTGAGCAAATCCACAGTGCCCCCTCACCCCCTGCAACAGTCTGCACCTTTGGGTACTTAACATCCCTGCACACGCCTACTTCTATATCTAAACTTCCAAATGTAAACAGTAGCAGAAACGAAGAGCTTCCACCCTAATGTACTGACCATGTGCACAAACAGGTACACATTTCGCTACCATGTCTTACTAGTCCATGTGTCCATGGCTGTCCTCTGTCAGTTTCCCTAGGGTTCATTCACAATCGTAACTTGATGTCCTGAAGTTTACCAACTAAACTTTAAGGTGAACCACCCCATTCTGCCACCATGTCCATGTGGCTCATGAGCAGGCACCGGAGTAGCTGGTGAAGGAGGCTGGGTGGCGCCCACAGGGCGGACTGTCTTTCCCACCCGACTATCGGGAGGTTCCTCTGCCTTGAGGGACTTTCGGTGAGTGTCCATGGAGCCCACACGTGCTCTGACACCCGAAATCCATTCCTAAGGGGCTGCATGCACATCTCTTCCTCAAACCTCCTTGTTATCAATCCAGTCTTATTCTTTTCAAGCCTTTGACCATCCTTAAGTCATGGGTTAAGTAAAGAATATTCAAGTAAAGAATATTATTTAGCTCCTCCCATATGTCAGGTATAAATAAAATGGTCAAAAACCACAAACTCGAGGCTCCCGCCTCCCTGGAGCTCAGCTCCTAGTGCTGGCTACTGCCTACCAGTCCATGGAGGTAGGACCCTGCGCTCCCAGCCAGTTCCTCCAGGCACAACAGACAACGAAATGCCTCTCAAAGTGAGCCCCTGGGGGTCTTGCATCCCACTGTCTTTGACTGCCAGCCTTCAGCAGGGCTACAATCCTAGAGTGTTATATTTCCAGCTGGGTTCATCATATCATCCACGTGCCCACTAGGCTCAAAGTCTTTACTCCTTAGACAACTGGTCCTGGGGGCCTCCACAGGAGGACCTGGGGGCGGGCTGAGGGGGAGGGGGCTGTGCAGCAGGATAGGTGCCCCTGGGTGTGAATCACCTGTACGTGCAGCTCCCAGGGTGGCCAAATGGGACAGTGGGTGGAGTCTCCAGGCCTGGACACTCATCCAGCAACTGGGCCACGGCACTGGGGTGAGGTAACATGAGGTCCCACTCATGGAGAGACTGGACAAGCATGGTGAGATCTTGGCTGGCACAGCTCCTGAACACTAGAGCACCACCCTCACCATGGAATTTCTCGCCACTGACTCGTCTTGGTGGTCCTGGGACACAGACCCTCCTCTGACTACACTCAGAGATTGACCGTCATCCACCTGGGACGCTGACCTCCAGGTTTGGAATGCCAGTTGGTGAGCATTGTTTTGCACCTTTGCACACAACGCCCTCCATCGCTCTTCCATCGACGCCTCTTCTTCTCTCAGCCACTGCTTCCCACTTTCCTGCCTTTGCTCGGGTTTCTGGTCCCATAAATTCAGATGTGTCTGTTTGTTTTGATGCTCACATCCCCGGCCAAATCCAGATGCCACCATTTTCATACAGCCCAAGACGATAAGAATGGCTTTTAAATTTTTAAATGGCTCTGTGTTTAAATGGTTACATTCTAGATGGTCATCTAAGGACCTACCTAATAGTTTCACGTTTGCCTC